CCCCATATTGTCTTATTTGAGACTAATTTACGAACTTCTCTACACAATTTTTTTTTGAAATTAAAATCTGAATCACACTAATTCACTTAGAGATTTTTCTTGACCTAGATTTTCTTATTTTATTTTGTGTTTTCGCCTATTTTTCTACGCACGATTGTCCTATTAATGATATTGACTTTTGTATTTGCTTTTATAAACTACATAGGCTCACGCACCTCTGATTGCCGTGTGGTGTTATGTATAAGTATATTTCATTTCATATATTAGCGATATGCTTAGCGGCTGCAGCTTTTCAGATAAATACACTTATAGGCCGTTTTCTATTCTTATACTCTACTTTAGATGCGTCAGCACATCCCACCCTCAAACATGAATTATGGTATTCCGCAAAGTTAGGTAGCACTGAATTAGAAATAATCTCCAGTTTTTCCCTAATATTTATTTATGCTACACTTATAAATGAATAATAAAATTAATTACTGTTTTGCGTCTAATATAAAGGGTCGCGATTGTTTATTTCTAATGACGCTTATGGCTCAACTTTCAATTGATATCTGCACTATTCCACATGTCCGACCGACCTGTTTCAAGCAGTTTGAGAGAGCATATTTACGCTTTCAGAGTAGAATTTCCTTGTGAAGGGTGTGCTTCCGCAGCTCGCCGTGTTCTAGATCAGCTAGGTTATTTATAATTTGCACGTTAAATTATTTTAATTCATTCTTCAATTTTTTTATGTTGATCTCCTTAAAATACAATATTTTTAACCGTTAGATGGAATTATATCCTCAGAAACAAGTGTTGAGGAGAAGCTGGTCAAAGTTAAAACAACACTTCCATACCAAGAAGTCATTGATCAACTAAAAAAGACTTCAAAACCCGTCGAATATATAGGCGAGCTCACCGAATAAACAGAAAACATATTTTCAGTTATCCAAACATGCTATTTGAGTCCTATTTGATTGATTTTGAATAAGCGATGTCATTTTCTCACAGATTCTTTGATTCATTTGCTCTTTTACATTCGAACGTCTGATACAAACAATAACGGACACAGGCCCTGGCGGATAGTATGCAGAATATACAGAATAGTCCGAGCGAAGTCCAAAACGTTGCGTGCCCAAACCTATTCTCCAGATCCTGCCAAAATATTGAAAAAATATACATGCAATTTGAATAAATTATTTAAAATATATCATTTCAAAAGATAAATAGTTTTAATCTATAATGCTGTAAATGTATGCTTAACGACTAAGAAAATTACTTACCTTGAATACGTTCT